CTCATTCACTGCTTGTCCTTTCTTGGCGGGTGGTTTGGATGTGCTCTTCTTCTTCTTGGGCGCTGGTTTCAGGTCCTTTGACGCTCCTTTCTTCTTTCGTTCCACGCCGCCCTGTTTGGACTTTTTCGTATTTGACTTGGAGCGCGGCTGGCCCGCGACTCCTGAGCTTGATTTACGTGTCTTGGGCTTGGTACTTGACCTGGCGCCGGTCTTACTCTCAGTTCTTGCGTTCCGCTGCTGCGCGATACTTGGCGACACGCTGGTGTTTGAGAGTTCCTGTACGTCCGCGGCAGGCGTTTCATTAGCTGCTGCGCCAACGTCACCGGCCTCATTGCGAGTATCTCCCTGCTCTGGCTTTGGGCTGGTGACATTGTCGCCAGATGACTGCCATTCTTTCTTAGTTCCCATCTTAGCTCGGCCTGCATTCACGCTAGCAGACGATTTTTGACGTGTCTTTGTCGTTCCATCGCTAGCCGAGGCTACGCCATCAGCTGATGGCTGTTCTGTAGACGGCTCCTTGCGAGTGATTGCGGTGGCAGATGCATTTGATGGTTGTGAACCAGTGGGAGGACGTAAGCCTTCTGTTGAGGCATTGGGTTGTCTTGCAACCCGTTCAGCTTCACTGCCGATGCCATTAGTTTCCGCAGCTGACTTGCCGATCGCTTTGTTCCCCTCTGCCAATATCTTCTTTCTCGTCTCATCCTTCTCCGCCTTGGTTTGTGCTGCTGCCTTCGCCAGAGCTTCTTCGTGGTGCTGCAGGGCGTTCTCCGTCATGCGCGCTTGCAAGTCGCCTTCAAGCCGCGCATCACGCGCGGCCTCTTCCGCTTGCTCCTGCTTGTCGCGCTCCTGGCGATCGGCTTTGGACAGGAACGGCCATGAATTGCTGAGGATGTAGAGCAATCTGAGGCTGGCGTCGGCGCCTCCGTCGTCCGCTTTCGGCATCGGCTTGGGCATTTGCGTTTGGATCTTGTACGGGTCTTCCGGCGGTGTCTGCTGGGCGGCCTCCTCGATCCGCTGCAGCACTTCCTCCGGTGTGGCGTCCGGATCGTTCTCATCCAGCAGGGATTCCATTAGAGTGGGGTCCTCCTTCACAAGCTGACGGATATGATCGACCATGGGCGGGAAGAGCTTGCCGTTGGTGGACTGCGAGTGGTCGATGTGGCCGAGCGTCATCAGCGCCGAAACCAGCGTGCTCTTCAGCGCCCCGGTAACTGAGAAGCACACGTCCTTCTGCTCCTGCAGGCGCTTGCGGATCTCCTGCGACTTGTGCATGATGCTGTGCATGTGTCGCTCGTGGTCGATCCAGTGCTGCTTGAAGCGCCGCACCATCTCGTCGCCCTCGCGCAGCGACTCGCGGATGGCGTCGATGTCGGGAACCTCCGGCATGACCAGCGCCGTCATCCTCTCCGCCGCCGTCTGCTCTCGTTTCGCCTTGTCCTGACGCTCCCTCTCGGCGGCGAGCTGGGCCAGCTGGTGGTACGTAGTCGGCTTCTTGCTCGACAGCTCTTGGCCGGGCGGTCGCGCAAACAGCGCGCGTTCCTGCTTACCGAAGTGCTCGTAGGCGACGTGTCTTGACCAGTCCTGCGCCGAAGCGACGTGAACATCGTCGGCCGGTGGGAGTGCAGCAGCGCCCGACTCCTGCCTCAGCTCCTGGACGGACTGCTCCCACTTCTGGTGGTACTGCAGGTGCGAGCAGTCGGGATGGTCGCACTCCACGTCACCGGTGACGATGTTGGAGAATCTCTGCATAACCTCCGGGTCCAGGTGCACCGTGTCGGCGCCGAACGCCTCCGACATGCGCTTGAACGCCAGGTCGTGGCTGATGTTGCTCGCGTCCTCCAGGCGTATCTCGTGCAGGAGGCTCTTCATGTCCAGGTCGGGCAGGCCGCTACGGCCCCGCTGATGTCTCTCGCGTGCCATCTGCAGCCACAGGAGGCCGGCACGCATGTACGGCGGCAGCGGTTTCGTGTCGGGATGCCCGAAAGGTTTCACTTGAATCGGCGGGCATGTCTGCGCTGTCTTCTGCTGCAGAGGTTTCGGCGCGGATGGCTCTGCTGGTCGCGGCGGTGGTGGCGGCCGTTGTTGTTGTTGTTGTTGTTTTTGTTGCTGTTGTTGTTGAAGTTGTTTTTGAAGTTGCTGCTGTGGTTGTTGTTGTTGTTTCTTCCCAGTTTCAATTCTCGGCACTGCTCGCTTTGCCGGTATTGTACTGGCAAGCGGTTGGGCCAACAGCTGATATCCCAGTCCGCCATACGTATCTTTCAGCGCTGCACCGTGTTTGGCTGGGTTCCCGGAATACGGCGAGCCCAACGCGTTATATCCCATCGTGTCCGTGTCGTTATCGTTAGCGTTTGTGTAGGCACGCCTGCCAGCGGGCTTGACGACAGTCGGCACTTGCCACGGCAACGCACCCGTGCTGGGCGGAGGATGCACCTGCGCAACTGACCACGCCGGACGCTCGGGGCCAGCGTCTGGTGCCACCGGCGTTGCCACGGCCTGCAATACGTCGGTTCGCGCTCGCATTATGCCGCCCACGCGCCGGTTGTTCAGCCGGTCCGCCGCCAACTCGCGAAGCGTTTTCGGCCTAGCGTGGTACTCCCCGTCGTCCGGGTGGCGCATCAGGATCTCAATGGGCGGCTTGCGCGTAGTTCGGAACCTCTCACTGTAGCTGCTCTGCCGTTTCAGGACGTCTCCGGGTGAGATCTTTGGAGCGATGTGCTTTAACTTGTGCGTCTGGTACGAGCGGCGATTTAGACCGGTTTCCTCCTCGAAAATCTCACCAAAGGGACCGTGCCTGAGGCGGGGAAGGCGCAGGCCGTCCAAGGTCCACTCCGCCGACCCGACCCTGTAGTGGGCGGAAGTTCGTCGGTTTTTGTTCCCGATCGGCTTGGGCGGCCGCAAGTCGGGTATGTACCCGGGCTTGTGTGGCAAGTAAGACCGGTCCAAGGGCGGCAAGTATGGCTCGTACGTGTCCGCAAATTTCTCTGCCATTGTCATCCGCGAGAAATCCTTCTCCTTTTTGCCAGCACCTCCGTTTCCCGCATCGTTGCGTTTACGGCGCTCTCTGTCACCTTGTTGGGCGTTCTTGCTTGTGCTCCCCTTGCCCTTAGCCCCAGCTGCTCCTCCGGAAGTGTATGCAATGCTGGATTGTGCCTGCTTGGATCGATCTTTGGTGTAGGACCGGGGTTGGAACCGGGACACCTCCGTCGCTTCCATCCGATTGTGGTTTGTCGAAAAGCGAACCCGCCGTGCCGAGTACTGCTGCTTCATGATGCTGCTGCCGCTGAACGTTAGAACGTAGCGGTTGGAATCAGGCGGCGCGAAGTGCGCAGATTTCGACGTTGCTCACTTGGTGTGCTGGGCGCAGAGCCAGAATGCGATTGATTGCAGACGTGTGGTAGCTGTAGCCGACAGCTGGCCGGCCGGGTACAAAACGGAACAACAGCGCCGAAAGTCTCCGATTGGCCTGCGTTAGTTGGATTGTACTGCACTGGCGATAGATCAGGCACTGGCGGCGATCCGAGGACACCGAGTCGATCACGGCGACACACGTCCGTCGCAGATTTGCCACTGGTGCTGCTGGCGGCTTGGCTGTGTCCCACTCTCCCTGCCGTCTGCGCAGCTCCCGCCAACAATGCCCCGCAGCGTGCTGCGTTTGCGGGTTACAAAGCTACTTCCGACAGCAATCTGCTCCCAAGCAGGGTATCTAGTTTGGGAAGCGCTTGAAGTAATAGTTGGAGCAAACACTACAGTCATGTACTTGTCAGACTCGCTGCTTCGTCGAAGTCATCAGGGACAAGGAGATGCCAAAGAGAGCAACATGGCCGCCAGCAGAAGCAGTGACCGTGCGTGGATGAAGAAGCTTCTCGAGACGAAGACAAACACCAAGCATGATTTACGAACACTAGCAGTAAAACGCCGTGTAGAGCTACGTGTCGGCGCTGCACTGTGGGAGGCCAACCATGACGTGACATACAGTCATGACCTACTAGTACTAGTACACTCACTGTAGTTCAACTGCAACAATTACACAACCGATAACCGCATAACTTACTTTGTACTTCAGTGGGCACACATACGCTTGTAACTGGTGCGTAGGCTCTCAGAAGTAACTTGCGGCGACTTTTCGAAGACCCACCAGCCAGCCAGTACTGCAGTAGACACCCCCCCCCCCCCCCCCCCCCCTCTACACACTGACACAGGGCACAGACTACAAAAAAAGAGCTCGTACGAGTACCCTGCAGTGTTCAGCTAGCTCTGTATCAGGGTCTACGTCGGCGAAAACTCACATCACAAGCATAAAATTCAGTGAGCTAAAACTAGTCAAAGTCAAACATGACTTTTCTCTGAAACAGTGAAAGTCAAAGGCTACATTGTATGGGAACTACTTGAATCTTGAAAGATGCAGGAGCCAGCTGCTGGGCTTCCCACACTGCTGCAAGCAAGGGAAGGTGCAGGAAAAAAGTGTTGATCACAGGTCAGGGCAGTATATCTCTGAGTCCCAGGAGTCCAGTCAGCGCATGCAGTGTAGGTACCCGTGCACACGCATACACACTTCCACTTCCACAAGCCCATCGCTGAAGCGATGATAGCCCGGAACAAGCTATGTTAGACATAGCAACTTGTGCTGGGATTCCACCATCCAACAGCTGGCAAGGCTGATGAATACACACACACACGTGCACACCACACACACGCGCGCACGCGCGCGCACACACACACACACACACACACACACACACACACACACCTCAGACCTCAGACCTGCCCATCGCAGAAGCAATGATAGCGAACAGCTATGTTAGACATAGCAACACACACACACACACACACACACACACACACACACACACACACACACACACACACACACACACACACACACACCGGCACACACCGGCACACACACACACACCACACACAAACACACACGTGCTAAAGCGCAACATAAGTCCCACAGCAGTACTGCAAGAGCACGACCAACACCAGTCTGGAACACACCATTCGACCGCATACATAATTATTATCAATTCTTCAGTTCAGAAGGGCACCGACCAGAAAATCGAGACAGAAAATAGAGAAATACTCCGAGAATATGAGGCAAGTGAGGAATCAAATATGATGATACAAGATATACGAAAACTCTGATAAATAGGTGGGACCGAAATGACCATTTTTCTTCTTACACGAGAACGTTTACACGACATCAACCATGTGCAAAGGCCACACAGTCCGCAAGTATCAAAGGAGAAAGAAAGAAGCGAGATCCCAACGGGAAGCTCGTAGACACAACCCAGTGACACGAGAAAGGGCGCCGAGTCGCTCGCATGAAGCAGAACAAAGCCACTCTCCTGGCCGAACACAAATAACACCGGAGTGACCCTGATGAAGAGCGAAGGGAGCGAGGAGGACTTCTAGAACTGCCAAACACCGACGTGTGGCCCGGTCACGGCCCTGTGCACTGGCATGCGGGCACCGAACATCGGGGAGACGGCGGCGGCACAGAATAAAGATCAGCGTCAAAATTATATCAAGCACACCGAACCAGGCCACACCACTGCTCAAGGTAACGCACTGTGCACAACTGTAGAAGGGCAAAGAGCAGCAGGTGCGGACAAAGTTATCGGCAAGCGGTAGAGGACACGCGCATCTTCAATCAATGATATATAATTATATTTGACAAATAGCTGAAACCAGTGCAAACATCACCATGCGGTGGTGGTGTGTTACAACTCGCAGAGCAGCTATGTGAGACCAGGGAGACAACAGAAAGGGAGGAGGAATAGAGACAGGAGAGAGGGTGTGAGAGGGAGAGAGAGTGAGGGGGGGGGGGGAGGAGAGAGAGAGAGAGAGAGAGAGAGAGAGAGAGAGAGAGGGGGGGGGGGGGGCGAGACACAGAGACAGGGAGGAAAGTCAACAAGCATATACAACGAAACAAATCCTGGATGACGTCATATCCGGTCAGACAATCTCGGCATCGTCATCATCGTTTTCAGAGTCGATAACAAGGAAGCTTTCACTGTCCTCGCTAGTGTTATGCGTCACATCCGTCTTGGCATCTTTAGCTCCATTCTCTTTTATCTCTTGGTCCTCGATAGCCGTGTCTTCATCGGTTCCTCCCTTCTTCAAATCTTCGTCGTTGTCATTGACGGCTGCTGCAATGTCCTTCTCGATGTCACTGCTCGACTTCTCCTCAAGGTTAATCAAGTCAGCGCCATTACTAGAATCGCCATTGCTCGTTTCCTCTGCTTTGAGTTTGTCGTTACCGGCCAAGTTTTCCTTCGCCTCGTCTGCCATGGGAGATTCTGCCTCGTTCTCGTCCACTATCACGAATTCGTCCAGCGTGCTGCCTTCGCTGGCTGGTGATGTGGCGGAAGGCGACTGCACGTCTGAGTTCGATGGGTCCGTCTCACCGCCATCAGCCGATCCCGATGCCTCGTTGCCAGCATCGCCGCCATCGCCCGCGGCAGTTGTTGCTGCTTCGTTGTCGTCCGCGTCCTCCTTTCCTTCTGCGTCCTCCTTTCCTTCTGCGTCCTCCTTTCCTTCTGCGTCCTCCTTTCCTTCTGCGTCCTCCGGCTCGGATTCCGGTTCGGGCTGCACACAGGGAGAGCATGACCATAGTATTTGAAGCAGCAGCAGCAGCAGCAGCAGCAGCAGCAGCAGCAGCAGCAGCAGCAGCAGCAGCAGCAGCAGCAGCAGCAGAATTCCATGTTCTTACTCGTCATATTTCATAGAGAAGTTATTCCAGGGCATTCTGTAAAAGCCATATATATATATATATATAACGAAGTGCTAGTGAAATCGATACGTATACCGTTCTATTGAGCGTTGAGAATGAGTGAGAATTGTTACCTTTGATACACATGAACCAGCCTGGTTTAGGAAACCGTTATATGTGCGCCTCTTTAGAATAATGGCTTTTACAGTAATGGGAACATATCAACAACACGCCAGTGCTATTCAAGTGGGATGGATACCATAACTGCATCTCCCCCTCCCCCCCCTCCTATTCACAGCCAACCCAAAATACTTGGTCTAGACAACAGTGTGAGTCGTGTCAAACAGACCGCATCACAACCACTTCGTCTTTCTGTGAGAACCGAAACTATGGGACGGTGAGAAGGCAATCATGCCTGTGCAATTGGTGAAGTAAAATAAAAGTCAGCAACGACAACAACAACAACAACAACCCCATGTCCAATAAGCTACGGTGAAGTCGTCATCCCAGCAGAGAAAACACACCGAACTATGTAAATCTACTTACCGGTCTGTCGGGCAGAATACCGATGCCGGCCACTTTCGAGTCGAAGAAATACTCCTCCCCCATTGCTTCCTCGACGCGCGAACGTCTGAACTCCTTCGAGGGCGGACGTCCACCTCGTTTCGGACGCAGAAAACGCTCGGTGGGCGTCAGCAGTTTGTGCTGTGCCGACTCTTCCGCTCTGTCGCCGTTTGGCGGTGAATGCGGCTCGTCTTTGTTGACGGAGCCGCCCTGAACACGAGTGCAATATGTACACAACTCGGTGTTATTCACGAGGGATCTAAATTCACCAAAACCATGATGAGAGCAGGCCGTGGACCCAGGCCCACCTCTAATGGGGCCAATGCATACAAAAATTGAATGCTGCAAAACAGGTATTTTCGGTGTAACTTTAATTTCGGTGATTTCGGTAGAAATACCAGGCACCTAAATTTAGATTACACCTAAAAGGTACCAGGGTATTCACTG